GTTCACGATTCGAATCTATCAGCTGCCCTGATTAATACTGCTGGTTTATTACCCATAGAAAAAATATATATGCGCCGTCTGCTTCACGGTGGACATTAAATATCCTGTGACATCATTCGCACGAGTTAGGCCATTGTGTGCCGTCACCATGGTCCAACATTTCCTACATTTGAAAAATAAACCCGCAAATTACTCAATAGGGAGCATACGTATCAATCATTTCCTGGGTAAGCAAGCTCTCTGGAATTCACCCAATAGCTACTCGCAGATGGCAGTGAGGCGGTATGCCACTGAGCTCTTCAAGCTATTGAATATCTGTGTGCACTCCCAGGGTATTTTCACAATTTCAGAATGAGATTTTATATATATATGTGTGTGTGCATGTTTTGCCGTGTGTGTAATGCTCCCTCCCTCCTCATTACTGCCTTTGCCTCTCAGTCATGAGCGGAATGATAAGCGACAAGAAATCAACGGTGGACGACACAGCACCTTTTTTGTGTACATCTTGCCCGCGACCGGACCTGAAGAGGCTGCACACGGGGACACTGCTTCACGATATCGTGAAGAAAGAAAGTTAGAAACGCGGGTAGTTTTTTGTTCCTTTCATTTTGTCCCCATTCTACTGACAGAGTCTTCTGTCAGACCAGGCCAGCACTACCTTGCCTCGGGCAGGTGGCTCGGGAAAGGCACGCTGACACTAATTGCCCATTGCTTTGTGTTTACTGCCCTCTGCTGAAAAGCTACGGGCACGCCGCGTGGGATAGGAGGGGGCAGGCACTGGATTTCCCATGCACACAGAGGCCGGCTTGTGTTACAGTTCACTGTGGAGAGAACAGGACAACTGTCGCATACCCCGTTCCAGGAGTTCCCAAACCCCTCCCCCGTCCTCGCGACCTACGACCGCGCTCCGTCTTTCTGCGCTTACCAACTTCCTCCCCATTCAAATGGAAATTAACTCGCTCTACGCTTGACGCGCCCGATGATTGTTAAACTCGGGCCCACGTGACGCGACAAGCAATTGACGCTTAACACGTAGGCTTTCGTGACCAATATTATTCATAATATTATTATGAACAATTGACGCTGTCTGCGTTAATAGAGCCTATGAAAATTAAGATTTAAATCTCGGTGTGCGCGTGCACACGTGTTCCTTGTGTGTGTGTGCACACGTTTTGCACGTGTGCACACACACACACGTCTTTTGTCAGCGAGGTAAATGAGAGGGCACCGCTCAAGGCAAGGCACTTGTAACTCTTGCTTCTTCAGGAATTTGTGAGATATTCTTCTCTCTGGGATGTTATTTATTGTACCTCCGAGATGTCAAGCCAAGTCTCAATTCTGGTCATCGGATTTCGAAACATATTTACATTATTGACAAGTGTAATATTCCTCCTATAATTAGACATTTAGACGTGACATTTTTGGGTGGTTGGTGAGATAAATATTGACATCTGGACCTGTATCGATGGTTGGAATTTTGACCGTGATGAGCATTGCCATTTTTTGGTCCTTTTACTATCCCTCTCTCTCTCTCTGTGAGAGTTCCTGAAAACTGTGCGCATTACAAACTCCAAATTCTTATCATTACATGAATATTATATTATTGTTGTTGTTTTCATATTACAGCCAGGACACACAAGCCGTCTATGCATGACGCAGTCGACTGCAGCCTCCCTGCGGTGTTTGTCTCACGGCACTCTGGGCTTGTGATGTGATTGTACCACGTGCCTCTGTCTCCCCCTTTGTGACGTTTCCAAAACACCATATTGAGCAGGCTCCACCGGGCATAAGGAGGCCCCTTGTAAATGCAATTTCACACTCGGGTTGTGGAAATCGTTCCGCGAGGAGGCTCACGGTCAGAAAGAGAGAGACTCGATGCCGCGCACGCCGCCATCCTGGGTTGCCAGTGGCATCGCGTGGTTGGAATGGGGCCCTTCCATCCAACTCACGACCACCAAATTACGACCGCTACAGCCGTTATCCCCAACACACCTCCATTCACCGTATAGCCTTAACAGACTGTTGGGGCAAGTGCTGTTAGCGAGCACTATGAAGGCCGGCACAGCACACGACGGGGTGGGTTGCCAGCACCACGCCCGGCTGCCTTTGTCTCCCCAGTGGCGATGTTTTTATGCACCACACCAGGTACTCATTTGAGGCCGATTCGACCTAGGGGAGAGCCAGGACCGGTTCAGATAATCGTCACAACTCGGGTTTCCAGATTCGTAGCACAGCGTGCTAACCGCTACACTACCACACGAGGTCCAACACACCTCCACTCACCTGCAACCCCAAGGCCCAACACAACTCCACTCACCTGCAACCCCAAGGCCCAACACACCTCCACTCACCTGCAACCCCAAGGTCCAACACACCTCCACTCATCTGCAACCCTAGGGTCCAACACACCTCCACTCACCTGCAACCCCAAGGCCCAACACACCTCCACTCACCTGTAACTCCAAGGCCCAACACAACTCCACTCACCTACAACCCCAAGGTCCAACACACCTCCACTCACCTGCAACCCCAAGGCCCAACACACCTCCACTCACCTGCAACCCCAAGGCCCAACACACCTCCACTCACCTACAACCCCAAGATCCAACACACCTCCACTCACCAACAACCCCAAGGCCCAACACACCTCCACTCACCTACAACCCCAAGGTCCAACACACCTCCACTCACCTACAACCCCAAGGCCCAACACACCTCCACTCACCTACAACCCCAATGCCCAACACACCTCCACTCACCTGCAACCCCAAGGTCCAACACACCTCCACTCACCTACAACCACTAGGCCCAACACACCTCCACTCACCTACAACCGCAAGTTCCAACACACCTCCACTCACCTGCAACCCCAAGGTCCAACACACCACCACTCACCTGCAACCCCAAGGTCCAACACACCTCCACTCACCTGCAACCCGAAGGTCCAACACACCTCCACTCACCTACAACCCCAAGGCCCAACACACCTCTACTCACCTGCAACCCCAATGCCCAACACACCTCCTCTCACCTGCAACCCCAAGGTCCAACACACCTCCACTCACCTACAACCCCAAGGTCAAAACACACCTCCACTCACCTACAACCCCAAGGCCCAACACACCTCCACTCACCTGCAACCCCAATGCCCAACACACCTCCTCTCACCTACAACCCCAAGGTCCAACACACCTCCACTCACCTACAACCCCAAGGTCAAAACACACCTCCACTAACCCGATAAGCTACGCCACTGCCGTGTGTACAGGCTGCAGATGTACAGCGGCGGTAACGCAAGAAGACCACGATAATGACAATATAAGTTTAATGAAGGAAACAGCCGTATCTATTCTTGCGTATGCAAATATGTTCAGGAGCTAAATGATGGTAATGTCGAGGTCTACTTAAGACACAACTAATGCCGGCGTCTAGGCGAAATTTACTTGGTTACTTTGAATCCAGGTGTGATCAGTGGAGCTAAATGGCAAAAAGCCCTTCGGAGGGCCTGAAAACAATCAGACGAGGTCATCCAGTGAACCAAGTAATCATGGAAGGCCTCTTCAAGACCTCAAAGTGACTTCCTGACCGGAAATATAAGAAAACAGCTTGTGCAGAACGGGGCAAACTAAGCCCGTGATTGTTTTCAAATTACCACGTTGTTATCAAAGTAGGAATGTTTGTGCAGCTCTCAAGGTCGCGGAAATCGTTGGTGGGGCGGTGCCGGTGCCACAGTGATGGTGGGAGTCGGGGTGGGGGGGGGTTAGAATGGTGCCTTGGGTCCAGCTACAGTGATAGCTCATTATTAATGCCTAGAACCTGGTCACCTGAGTTACATTCCCGGTCACGGCCAACATCAGTGGCAAATGATATCTGAACTGGGCCTACTCCCGATCCTTCGCCAGCATACAATGACCAGCACGGAGTAGTACGGCGCAGGCAAACAACCCCCATGACTTGTTGACGTGGCATTGGGAAGGCCTTCATCAATAAGTATGTTGAACTTCTTTCGCACCATACGTAGCCAACTGTGCTAATCGTAGGTGCGGGGAAAGGAGAGCTACTGTAAACACAAGAAGCATTTACACCAGTGATTGATAAAGGGCTATGCATTATTATTTAAAATGCATTATTTACGTGAGACATTAATATAGGTCATGTACAACAATTTGGCTAAACAATGTCACTTGGGGGGGACACAACTGGACAACGCAATAGAGTTTGCGGACCGAGGAGAGCTGTTAATTTCGGACCGGAGTCAAAATGATGAAACACAGAGGTAGTGCGAGAAGAGATTGGAGTGCTTTTGGAAAACTGAACTTGACGGTGAAAGGTAAACGACCAAATGTGGACAAAGAAGAAAGTTTTCAATTTGTGCGCAAGGAAAGCAACCTCTTGTGTCAAAACTGTTTGCGTGCACTCTCACAACTTAGGGAAGCCTCACCCCTACCTTGACAAGCCCAACGCACGTGTTTATTCACGTACCTTACGCGTGTACCTCGACGAAAAACACATGACTTCATTGCAAACTAAGTTACCGCAATTCAAATAATTATCAAATCGCTCGAATCCATTGGAAGGCCCCAAGCGAGTGGTGGCAACTCAACATCATCGTTGTGGTGGGAGACAGCCTCTTCACATTGACAAGGAGTGTTGACCTCCCACAAAGCGGCAATCGTTTTATCGACCCTAGATGGACGATGGGCCGAGTTGACCTCCTGGGACCAGAATATGACCCCCTAGGACCAGGATTTGACCTCGCGTCCTCTGATCACGGTGAATCACTGCCACCTCTCGAACCAGGAGACTTTGGCTCATGGCTCAGTGCTGCAAACGTTGGGCATCGGGCCCACCCAATCACCCAACCACTTCGATTATCATGATTATTGAAGGAAGCAGCTGACTTGAGCCGGAGGGGCATGAGTTAGCGGGCGGGGGGTGGAGTCAGCTCAACCCCACCGCAGCTGCCTTTATAAACAACGCATCCACGGGCGGACAAACCGCCCCGGCACCGCGACCGTCCGGGACGGGCCAGCTGCCCGCTACGCGCCAGCTCCCACATCCCTCGAGAATCCGACAGGCGAGAAAACGTGAGTACTGTACAACAGCCTTCGGCGAAGAAAGCACAACATACGGGTGTCAGCTGCAATTGGCAACTTGATCTGTTTGTGGAAAATCGTGGAAATGATGTGACCTCGCAATGAAATGTTCGTAAAGTTAAAATGCGCATGGGAACCTACCAACATAGCAGCCCGCGTCAATTTCGTTTTAAGCATGGGTTTAAGCTGCGCTCCCAAATCCACCACACCTGGCCATGAACAATCTAATCCCACCGCTGACAAAAGTTCTCAGATGCGCACTTACACGTCGCATAACGAGGAGAGCGGGTGGCGGCCAAAAAGCAAAACCGCGACCATCGCCCGAAGCGCAAGTTGCGCGCACAACAGATGTCACGAGCGGCGGGACGTGACCCACGCGTGCGCCCCGGGTTCTGGCTGCCAGCCGAGGGAGCGTGGGGTCTTGACCGAGGGTGGCCGACACCAGCAGCAGGAGGAGAAACGTCAGCGGCCAAGGTGTGGGAACCGAGCCATGGTGCCCGCGAGCGAGACACGCTGCGACCCGAGCGTTAGCCGCACGGTCATCATCGCCGGAGCGGGCTGATGTGCCAACAACCAGCGCTGGTTTGGTTTCCCACGTGACCGTTTATTTTACGAGACATGAACCGTACGTAATCGGATCACGGGATGGGAATACTTTGCCGTTGTCATCACTACCACTGTTTTGCCACAGCTGTAATGTGTATAAGAGCACTTTCAGGGCATCGGCTCTTTTTGAGGACACTGCCTAAAATGTTGACTTATTATTATTCATTCTCGTAGCTTTCAGGCAGTATTTGTCAGTGGTGATGATAATGATGGAAACTTTTATTGGCCTGTGTTCCAGTGGAGTAGCATGTTTGGCATGGACCCTGGTGCAAATAATAAAATGCCCCCCCACCCCCCCCCCCCGATTGAATTGCCGCCGTCTTTGTAGGCAGGGACCATGTCCCTCCGGCCGGTGGGCCCTGGGTGCAGCTTGCACACTCAACAGCCACACCACTGCTGCTATATTCCCATACTATCGCGAATACAGCTCCTGAAATACAGTGGCCACACTCGCCGTGTTGAGCTGCATACACGAGGCCCACAACACAGGGCTCCTCCATACACTGGGGTAGCGGGGAGTGCAGCTGCCGCTGCCCTCTGCTATCTACAACGCCATGCCCATAAATACTTCATAACCTTATTTAAGTCACTTTTTCTGAGTTCGGAATTCCTTTCTTCTGGCCACCCACACTGCACCACTTAGACAAATCCCCTGTTCGAATGTAGGATAAAGGCCCTCCTCTTCTGACTACGACCAACTCCATTTGAAGTTCATTCTATTTGCTTTTCTTGAATAACGTCACCTCAGCTCCGTCTCTGGCCTGGAGCATTCTATACATCATTCCCTGCTATACTAATATATAAGAAAAACGTTTCGCAGGCTGGAGGGAGGGGGTACGGAGGGACATACGGACAGACGGTCACATCCAAAGGAAGTGCGGGCAGCTAGTAATAATACAAAACACCTTCAAACGCTCTTGGTGTCCATGTTTCCGGTCATCACGAGGAATATACAAATGTGGTCGTATTTGCATGCTTTTAGGAATCCAAACTTAAATTTCAGCCATCAACATTAAAAAAACCGCTCCCTAAAGCCACGCTGGATCTCCTCAGTGCCCAGAGCTATCCTTGGAAACAAGCGTACATGATCGAGCGCTTGCATGCCAAGTAGCGGCACAGCTTATCGCAGGGCGGGCATGATGTCATGATGCCAAGGGACCGGTTTGCCTGGTTAGTCTAAGCAAGGCCACTGTTGAGACAATATTACAGATTAAATAGATACCACAAAATATTTGCACAGCCACAGGCAACCCCATTACAATAAAGAGTACCATGGCAAGCCACCAAACAAATGAACTGTATTAACTATACTCGAGTCAAAATGACAGCTTAACTCCATTAAACCACTAAAGCCTCATTATAACAAATTCCAGGCAACTCGAGTAAAATGTCACACCGCGATCGGTGTTCAGGATTTGGGATAATGACCGTTGTTCTCACTGGCTCAAGACGATGTAGATCCACACGCGGCCACTTGTAAACTAATCGTGCTTCGACAGTCGGCACTGGGTGTCAAGGAGTCTGGGATCCTCCGGCTGGCATTGCCACTCACCGACAACCTCGGCACTCGCAATACATTCACCGCACACGTCTCACACATTTATTTCGAGTTAAATTATCGGTTCATGAACGGGATGTTCACGTCTCATTTTGTACATTGCTTACTTTAAAAAAAAAATCTCTCTTCAAACGTTAATAACGCAAAATAAACATTTTAATATTTTTAGAATTGTTTACTTTTCAGCGTAAACAATCCTGGGGGGGGGGGGGGGAACTGCTCCAAATGGGCCATGATATAGGTGGTCTTGGCAGCTGTAGGTACAGTACACAATTGCATTTGAATTTTACAACCGTATAATACGTCTTTCCACAAAAATGAGTTACGAGTGACATCCAGACTTTGCTGCGGCGGCGGCAGCCTGGTTTCTGTGCCGCAGAGGAGGCGGTATCTCCCGGCTCATCAGCAATCCCGGCGTCCGCGAGCAGTGGAAAAGTGCCGAGTGGTAAGAGCCTCCAACGTGCCCTTTCCACGCGTGAAACGGATGCATCGATTCAGCGGTGAAAATCAGTTCTTCCCCTTACGGCAGATGCATCGAATCGAGCTTGCATCGATTATTTGCAACTCATGCAAAGTAAATGCCAATTATACATTCATGCTAATGGGGCAGAGAAGATTCTACAAACAAAGAAGGTACAACACACAAATACATGTATCCAGAGAATGGTGAAAGTGAGGCAAAGATAAAATGGTTCTGAAATGGAACCATTGTTCTGAATCATGAGAATCCATCCAACCTCTGGTGGTGGGGGGGTGGGGGGGTTAATCGTCCCTCACCTCGTTATTCCAGTCCCTTACAAAACGCACACGTTTATACCATCATCTGTGCTGATTGCTCTAAAAAGATTTTCAAGCCACCCATTCGTCTTGATTTGAGTTATGTCTGTGACTCGCAAGTTTCCTTTTTTTTATTTACCCGTATGTATTAAATTGCTCCGCCTGTCTCAACCGATTGATAGTTTTTATATTCTTTATTTTGTTGTTTCCCTTCAACGTGACTTTACCGAAAAAACTAAGAATATGAATTACTGCAGTCACGAAAGCTTTAAATCAAAATTTAGATTGATAGTTTTGTTTAACGTACACTGTGTTTCTCTTTGCCATGTGTTCTGTGCTTTCTTTGGGAGGAGCAGAGAGGTTCCCCGATGGCATCCCAAACTTATGACGGGCTCACTGCAGCTCGGCCTCCATGCAGGCCCGGTAGCGGAGCTATCGGGGAAACACAGGACAGAGTTGAAATCGGAGACGTCACACGAGGGGAACGTGCCCCCGAACACGCCCAGCAGCTGGAGAGCAACGCGGATGCTTCAGCGACACAAGGGGAGCGACGCCAGAATCCGCGGGTTGAAGAATTCCTTCTTCCAGAGTTGGACAATAAGCCAGAAGTGAGTCAAGTGTGGCAAATCGAGATGCAACAGGTGCAGCCGATCCTACCAAACGGGTATCACTTGGAGGTAAAACTAAAAATCGTTAAAACAGAGGCAACGAGTGATATATCAGGCTTTAGCTATGAAATAAATAATTGGGTGGTTCTTTTGACCAAAGTCGAAGCGGCAGCCAATAACAACGGCACCACAAATAGAGATGTGCAAGTGATTGTTACTGCTAAAGATAACAAGGTCGACACGGCAGTGACAATCAAGCACCCGCTGAAAGGAGGAGTCAGAGTTGCAAATGCTGATCAAAACACAACCGACGTAGGAGCTGAGGATGTTGATGTAACGACAGGAGTTTCCCCTCTGGGTTTAGGACGTGGCACGGGCACAGAGAAAACAGAACAGCTTGAAAACCCACTCACTTTCCCAAAGATGGAAGCTGAAACGAATCACAACAAATTGACCGAGGCGCCGGTTAACGGAAGCACTTTGGCCGAACGTAATTCAAGCTCCGCGATAAAAGCCGCAAACAAAGCGGCCGGCGAAGTTCTCGAGAGCGCCCGAAAGATTCCAAAAGCGCCGCGGACGGTGCCCTCCAATGCCTCCGAGAAAGCCACAGCCTGCGACGCGGCAGAGGGCACCGGGAGCACGGCTCCACCGTTGGGTGGCGCAGAGAGCGCACCGTTATTAACCTCCACGGCTCCGGAGCGGCGACGCAGAGCGGTGCGGCGAGAACAGGCCGTAAAAACAGCCATCGCGCCTCCGCCAAGCACGGCGGAGCGCGGCGGGCCTCCTGTTCAAAACGGGGATCGCGCCAAACCGACGCGAAACACGCAGCCAAAATCCGAGGATGCGACAAACGAGGGGCCGGAGAGCAACGCGGGTGCCCGCCGGGCAGAGGCAACCGCTCCGGCGGCCGGGAATTTAACTCCCGAAGGCAAATCTTCTATAGACGACATTAAAGACGTCTGCATTGGTATCCTTCACCAGGTGCACGAGATAAACGTTGGGAGCGAACAGTCCATTGCCGTCGGTGCTCGTGGTGCTGACCAGGCGAGTAATTGGAGGGCAATTGAAGTGGCAGGATCTGGGACCCCTGCCAGCGAAAACACGCAGAGGAGCAAACCTCCTGTTGCAGTTGAGGAGGCATCGCCAGCTTGTGGAGGTGTTCCAAATAATGCTTCGCACACGTCAAGCAAAGGAATGCACAGGCGTGATGGAGAGAAAGCGCTGGGCGTGCTGGAATCAAAAGATAAAATAGGGGTGCCAAAAACGGGCGAAATTAAAGAATCAGCTGAGGAGAATTGCAACAACGTGATGAGACCTGATGAGGATGCTATGGAAACACGCAGCTTCAACAAATCCAAACAGATAGAGAATGGTTCCATTGCCATTTCACCCGAGTCACCACCTTTTAAGACACCAAAGCAATCAACCACAATGCAGAGCGGTGTCCAAGTGGCATTGCCCGTACTAGCCCCAAAACAAGATGTCGCTCAGGGCAGTGATGAAGTTAAAACCGACAAAAGGGTCCCTTTGCTGTCAAACACCACTCTGAAAGAGACCGAAGGCAACATGTGCTCTGAGGAGGCTATTTCTGAAGCCACAACAAATGTGTCAGCCGATGGAATCACCCCGGCTGATGTCCATTGCAGAGACACGCAAGCGAAACCCAAAAAAGGGTTATTTTCAATTTTCTCTTTTGAAAAGGAAAAAAAGTCACGTCAAACAGCGGCAACAAATGCAGACAATAATAAACCAAACTCTTCGAGCAAAAATGAATGTTTTGCAGCCACAGCTGCAGAAAGGAATGCTGAATTAATGGCCACAAAACCTGACGAGGATGTGCATGGGACGGCGGGAAAAGGTTTGAACTCGGTGGATTTCACCGACACACAGCAGAACTCGTGCCACCCTGGAGTCCCCAACACACTGGCATCATCAGCTGGTGATCCTGCATTTTCTAGGGATATTCCTACACAGAAAAGTCACGAAGATTCCATCGACACAGCCAAGGAGAGTGAAGAAAATGCAAAAGTCACCTCTGATAACGTGGTGCACGGAACAGATGGTGGGTCTGAACTTTTCCCATGTGACGAGTCAGTGGGCGAGCCTCTAAACGCGCAGCCCCAACTCTGGTCACGAGTAGAACAGACCTCTTCTGACGGTGTTGCGGCTGAAAAAGAAAGCCCTGGAGGACTGACCGTGGAAAAACCTCCCGAGAAGAGATGGGGGTTCTTTTCATTTTTTTCCTTCGCCAGGTCCACCTCGAACAGCACGCCCCCACAGAGCCCACAGCCGGCCTCAGACATGGCCCAGGAGGTGTGCGGAAACACGGTTCAAAGCAGCGCCGATTTACAAGGTAGCCCTGATGATGGTACAACCCCCAGCACCGCACGGCCAAGTACGAAACCAGAAAATGACATTGACAATCTGATGGAACAAAATCGGCAGCATTCCGAGAATTCATCGACTGATACAGAACAGCCAGAGATTGACAATGCAACCGCGATGTCTCGCGAGGGCACCTCCGATGAAAAGACGCAGCGGGAGGCAATGACAGCCGTGTCGGGGGGCAATGCAGGGGAAGTAGAATGCCGAGATGCAACTCGAGCAGACTCGGAAGCCCCAGGTGAACCCGGACACATTCCTTTCAAATGCAGTGCTCGCACAGCAAAGTCTGAAGCTGAGGCAAATATCGAAAAACCCATTGACAGGTGTTCCGACAAATCAAGCAGCCCAGAAGAGCCACAGGTTGCCGAAACAATCAATGAAAACGCTGCAGTTAAATCTTCCGACAAGGCATCTGCGACTGGACCGGAAGGCAAGCCTAGCAGAGGCTTTTTTACGCTGTTTTCCTTCAGCAAGTCCACCAGTAAATCGGATGTTTCTGAAACAGAAGAACACACGGACCCACCGGTGAGCTGCAGCGAAGAGGAGCCACCGGGAGAGGGAGAATTCCTCGCCGCGGATAGCCCGATGGACGAAGAGAAGAACGGGACACCGGTGGGTACGAGCCAAAACAAGAAGACATCCAGTTTCTGGTTCTTCCCTGATATTGGCTTCACAGAACCCAAACCGGAAGAACCGACGAGTTAAAGCAATTAGGTTACAGTCCATCATTGCAGCAATGTATTCCCGCACCTCCGATTCACAGTTGGCCACGTACGGTGTGAAATAAGTTCAACATACATACAATATCTAGGCAAATGATGTTTGACGGGGTTTTTAAAATTATATTGTCTGTTAAAATATATGAAATTATTCAAAAGGATAGTTTTTTCGGGGAAATATATTCTCTATCCACTGCTGGTTGGAGGCCTCCCTCACACCATTGCCTTTCCTCGCTTCATTCCCCACAGTCCAGTACCACTGTAGTGATGAAGGATGATTACAATCTGTCGATTGGGAACTGTTTACGTACAGCTTGATACCATTTAACATTTAACTAAGTCGTGTAATATTTAAAACGTGCCCTGGCAAGTGCATCGCAATTCATGCATAAGTGAATTCCGAGTCAAATATCTTCACAATACCAAATTCCCAACGTGAGCATATACACGCAGCCATTCGAAATACAAGCTCTGGAGTGAGTCTGCACGTGTGTACGCATCCGTATTTGCCAATCTCCAGGGCCGCAATGATGCGACTCCCCTGGTGATTTGATGCACTGCATCGGTAACGATTCAATTCTTCAATCAAATTGTACGTGGGGTGGGGGAGTGGTAGTTGCCCTCATGATAGCAAATGGGAGTGAATTTATTTAGGATTAATTCTGGGGGAAAAAACAATGCATCATTTTTTACCTCTGCAATGCCCCGACATGTTCCACTCTCGATAGGCAAGACATTTGCATTGCTATAAACGTATAAGGCATTACAACGTGTGCTCTCATTAGATTAAGAAACACCTTCAATAGTCGGTCGGCTTTTCGACTCAATGAATGCGTTTTTGAGTTGCCTGAATGCTTTATATCCCGAGGCTTTTTCATTAATAGGTTTAATATGCATGCACTGATTCAGAATGATAATGTATCTTACATTGTGCTATGTGTTTCACTACTTTGTTTTTATCCTGTTTTAGTTTCTCTTGGAAATTACATTTTTCACATGGGCTCTCAAATAGTTGTAAATAGAGTAATTGATATGGAAATCATGTATGACACTGACCCACTGTATTGCAATGCTTCTTGACAACTGCCAGTTCAACCCAATAATCAGCATTTACCATATTTTCATAGTAATACTAATAATTATTAAACCTGTAACGTGCCACAGTGTTTGCTCACTCGCAACGAGAATGAGACAGTGAGCCAGAACCAAATTCCCCCAAGCTCTGCGGTCCTCTATATAATAATGCGTTATTGGCCAATCCATAGATTTTTTACATGTGTGAGAAAACCCACAATATGTGGGGGGGGGGGCAACACTACCCCATGTTAGTGTGTGTATGTACGTTGAACTTCTTTCGCACCGTACGTAGCGAACCGTGCTAATCGGTGGTGCGGGAACTAATCGGAGATGGAACAGGTGCCGTTCACATTGTGCCGTACCGTATTCTCCTGGCAAGCCATGGTATGGCACCTCGACACCCACGGGAAGGGAGTTTTACAACATTTATATGAGCCACCAACTCTTGCCTCCACAGCGATGGATTACATGCGCATGCCACCAACACCCAGAAACAATATTGATTTCCAATCACAGCTCTTAGCATTTTGCCTTGATAGGCCCTTCAGATGTCAGAGTTCTACGTCAAGAGCACTGCAGCATATTTAGAAGATAGGGTATGATTTCTGCTCGTCTTTATCTACGAACTAAAATTTAAATATGTAGTTTGGCTTCAATTCACAAAAAAATCAAAACCATTTTAAGATGTACAATGTTTATTACCCAAGTTTCAATGTAATTATCAGACAAAATGTATACATTTTAACAAATACTTGCCAAAAACTGGATGAAGTACATAATACATCTAAGTGCACATCTGCACCCTCGTTCGCCAATACCGAAATTAAGGCTTGCCGAATAAGTCAAGTGTAATGGATACAATTATAGAAGAAAAAACACAAAACAGATGATAACATTTTACATTTCACATCATATCCATGAAATTTTAAATGTATTGAGTCCAGTGAACACCTTCCATCGGTATCCTGCAGGTGACCTCAGCGGCCGCTGAGATCACCTGCCGCATCGTCATCAGGGCATCCCGGTGTAGGGCAGCTTCATTGGGTAGAGCGGCCCGTAGCGATCCTTGTGCCAGAGCAGCTTGCGTTCAAGGAAGCGCACTGTGTCAACCGTGAGCACCAGCGTGTGGTACTTCAGCATGCTGTACACGTTCAGCCCTGCAACACAACGGTGTGGTTAGCAGGGGTGCACGGCATCAATCGTCCATGACAAACGACAACTTTGGGCGTGCACAGCCACCACCGCCAGCCATCGAGCAGACTGCCATGTCAGCATTTAAAAAAAGGCATTCAAAACTAGATTACTTGGCTGTCCAGGCTAAATGGGTTTAGGCTCGGACGTTTCTTTTATCGTCTGGGTCTTTTTTTAAGGCTATTTCAAGTGTGCTATAAAATAGCTTACCTAATGCAGGCATCACAGTGATGGTCTTCAGTTTTTCTGTTGCCTCCAGGATATTCTTTGGCATCTGTTCATTCCTACAAAAACATTCAAAGTAAACAATCATTGCGTTCATGGGCTTCACTTACGGCTTTATATAAAATCCTTCATTGGACATTAGTTGATTGTTTAAAAAAAACTCCCATAAACAATCTGTCATTGTGTTTTGAATGTCCTACATTTTAAGCAGTTGTATCGTGGTACTGTTAAAACGCCGCTGAAATGAGACATATAAAAAACGAAGAATGATCACAAAGGCGCATCTCTCGTGGCACTCACACGTCCACGATGAGGACGGAGTCGCCCCATTGTCTGTACTGCGCCAGGTCGAGCAGGTACTGGGGGTCGGCCGTGGGTATGTCCAGGGAGTCGACGATGTGCAAGTCATCCTGCGCACACATCATTTCTGTAGAACTGATTTTTGTGTTTAGTTGTCCTTCACCCGCACCTTCGATTAGCACAGTTGACTAAGTACGGTACGAAAGAAGTTCTACATACGTACATACATCATGCACCGACACCTTCATTTTATTTAAAGCACACCTCAAGCTTGAGAATACAGTCTCAAAGCACCTGTATGACCCTTTGCCAATCCAATGCCGGATGAGCGCCTCTCTACACCATGTGGGTCATGGGGGTTATTTAACCCATGCCTGTCAACCCCTTATCAATGCCTACCTTATTACAGACCAATTCAGACCTTAATGGTCACCCTGTGACCTTATAAATCTCAACGTTCATCCTACAAAGTCCCATCACAAGGGAGACGCACAAACAAATAGACAAAAACAATGTTTTTTTTGCCCGTATTGAAACGGCTATATGTCGTATGGACCTGAAAACTCAATTTCCCTGTACAAGAATATGGGTAAACCATATGGGTTGACAGGTATGTTAACCATACTTCACCATTCTGGTCAGTGTAGTCGTAGGAGCAGAGCCACAGTAGAATGGATTTTGTTGCACTGCCGACCCACATTACATTATTCAACCCCAATTACTCGTATAACTGTTTCAAGTATCAATAGGAAAGCAATGCCTCTGTCTAACGAAGCGGACCGTACCTGTGCGTGCTTTACACTGAGGGCAACTGTGAGACCCTTGACGCGGACCTTCATAGGAAGCATGTAGTAGTAACTGATCGGGCCCCGCGGACCATGCGCCACGCCACCTGCCGCACACGGCGTCGCATCACATTAACCAAATGCCACCTCACACCACTGCGCACCACTGGCAAGCGCTAACACAGGACGAAGAAACGCGTCAGCCGCACCTGCTTTCTAGACCACACCACCGAACTGCATCACCGTGCTGCATCAGCGAGCGCGAACACAAAGACACACGCGTGCCATCCTCACCTCCTTTCCAGAGCGGGGACCGGATGCTGCCGTGCCGTGCACGTCCGCTGCCCTTCTGGTTCCACGGCTTGCGACCACCGCCGCGCATCTCAGCGCGTGTCTTCGTTTTCGCGTAGCTCTGTGAATGTTGACAGGTCACACGTGTGCTGAGGGCATCGATGTAGCCAAAACCAGTAAGGTGAACAGTATATCTGGCGCTACTGTAAATGCGTACAGCATGGGTGCTGGAATTTTAAAAAACAATTGCAAGATAAACTGCACGCATATTCAGTTTATATTTGCTGCTATCTATTTGCTGCTATATAGAGCACTCACAATCCTCTTGAAATTCTTCTGCCATATTAAGACTTGATGAAGGATGTCAAGCCTAATGAGAAAACAGAATGTAAAAAATGTTAATGGCAGAAATACACAATCACTAAATACCGTCACGAATTATGACAGTCCCCATATGGGTACAAAAGACTACACCAGCTGATCTTAATGAGCCATTATTTTAAAATAACTGGTTGCTTCCCTTCTGAATTTCCACACTAATTTCCATAAATTGCATGGGCTCAAAATTCAGAAAACAAAACTGGATGACAGCAATTCAGATGCTCTTTTTCATTTTAACAGAGACATGTAGCACAATGTACAATTTAATCAGTGGATCTGTGACAAAGTGGTTCCCACACTGTACTATGAACCTGATAACTACATTTAATCCCAGGCCGTGGCTAAAATCAGTGGCAAGTGTATCTGGACCAACTCACACTGCGTGAAGTAAAAACCCCCGTGACAACAAGGGATTGACAAAGAGCTATAAATACAATATAACGATTTAATAACCACCAACAGAATGTGACCGACAGTGTGGCAAAAAACTCAACACATTGGTCATGCACATTGCCTTAAAAGAAAAAGTACATATTAAGTGACATTTTTGGCAATGGCCCTTCTTCACAACACATAAATCACTGACTCGTGATTTAAATATGAAGGGCCATCGGCAAAAACGTTGCCTAAGTATTTTTCATTTTAAGGCAATTTTATGTGTCGAATTTTTTGTTATTTGTACTTAAGCACAACTGCCAATGCAGTATCACCACATAATTTACAGGATGGCAGTAGGGTCTAACAGCAAATACTGCTTCACCAATCAATGCAAAAAATCGCTCGCAATGGGACGAAGTGTGTTTGCGTCACTGTGTGCGCCACAAGAAGAGCGAGTAATGGGGCCGCACCGTGGGGGGACACCGAACACGTCTGGGTGGAGGTCGACGAGGCCCAACTGATCGACATCCAAACCGCGCAGAGACTCCAGCCATGCCTGGCGCATGGGGGCATACACAGGGGCGGCCGTCTCGCAGGGCCACACCACGGACTCTTTGGCAGAAAGGGTGGAACGACACGCGCACACGATTGAGTCTATGCACGTGCTTTATAAAATATAACCAAAATAAACGAGTAAAAAAAGACGGATTATTTAACAGAATGCACCATTTGGTTATTAGTAAGAACCTAAAATATGGCACACACAGACACCTTAAATGTTAAGAATTAAATTAAACTTTGAAGAGTTAAAAATGGAAAAAAACATTCTCACCAAAAAAAATGGTCAGCCTATTCTCTTTGAAATTTGAAAAAGTTGGAATTATGAAATAAACATATCAGTGACAAAAAACAAACATTTCCTTTCCCATAAAGGCAGAACTGAAATGACAGCAGGAATGGGCTTCATGGGAAACTGCCAAGGCTCTCATTCCATGGAAGGAAGTTGTCACAGCTCATCATTTTCTCTTCTTAAGGGTAGCCTATGGCAGCAAGTGAATCGGTTGAAATTATTCTCTCCTACAAATTGCAGGAGCAATGTCTGGCAATTAGTGGCCTCGCTCATTTCAAGGGGCATTACTGTTCTTTCCAATGCTATAATTCCTAGCAAAAATAAACAGCATTATTTTTGCTTGATTTTATAATACCAATCAAAGATGCATTTTTTTTATCCGAGCTCCAGGTGGGCAACTAACATGTATTAATCAAGCCTCTCCTAAACTGTTGGGAACGTCTGTCATTGTAGTTTACATGTTATTATCAATAAACAACAATGTTGTTACATTGGAATAAATTATCTGAGTCAATGGAACACCTTCTGGACAAAATAACGTTTTCAAGAACACAAGTTTTATTTAGTATTTTTTTTACATCCTTAACAGATGCATGTAGCCTGGGCTTCATACAAACTAGGGAGTGTGTAGATCAGCGACTCGGAAAATATTCCCACACCCGACACACATAATCCATTATCGCTCTCCCTATGGCTGCGGCTACGAGTCACATGCCTACACCAATCTACCAGGGACCCGGAATATCGTCCGTAATTACGGCCTGCTTACAGTATTCTCCACTCCAGGCCAGAGAATTGTGAATTACTTGTACTCAAAAATGGGCTGTGACATAAAGTGTCACGGCTATGGGGGTAATTAGGTTCACTGCAACTGTGTTTGCTCAACCAGACAGTAGAATCAAGACAGTTCTCAGACTACATTGCCATTTCATGTCAGGAAAACGAATTCAGGTGGTCAGAATATAATACTTTAGAGCATAGATGCATTCATAATCGAGTACAACAGTTTCTGACCAGGTCCAATTAAAGTGCAAGCATCATGGATGGGAATAAAGTTGGGGGAACACGTGGGTACCTGGATTGGCTGCATGGCATTGGCTGGCGTGACTGACCACGGCAGGTAATTTTGGCCCCACTCCAGCCAACAGCAACTACATCAGCAAAAATAACAACACCACCAACAAAAACGTATGAGTTCATATGCACGGCTTGAATCATGCCAACCCATCATACCACTAAGGTTCATAAATTGAGAAAATTAAAATTACAACCAACTCCACGACAGGTACGTGAAATGTACAATACTGGCTTGGTATGGCGATGAGCACCGTCAGATACTGGGCACTATGAAAGGGCAGACACACCTAGGCACAGAGCTTGAACCCTCAGTGGTACGAGCTAAGTTTCTCCGATATGACCCCGAAACCACCAGGCCACCTCGTCGCGTCCATAACCTATCCCTCCAGCCCTCGCCTCTAAACTCATCATCCAAACTCACCCCTGACCCCTCTCCACTCACTCCTGTATTCATAACCCTCTGCGCTCTCTCCCATAACCTTCCTCACCCTCTCGTCTCACTCTCCGCCCTCTCCCTCACCATGCACGCTCTCGCACTCTCTACTCACTCTTCACCCTCTTCTCGTCTCAACTCTCTCCCCTCACCCTGCACCCTCTCTCCCCTCACCCTGCACCCTCTCTCCCCTCACCCTGCACCCTCTCTCCCCTCACCCTGAACCCTCTCTCCTCTCACCACCTCACCCTGCACCCTCTCTCCCCTCACCCTGAACCCTCTCTCCTCTCACCACCTCACCCTGTACCCTCTCTCCCCTCACCCTGCACCCTCTCTCGTCTCAAATCTCTCCCCTCACCCTCTCTCCCCTCACCACCTCACCCTGCACCCTCTCTCTCCTCACCCTGCACCCTCTCTCGTCTGACCCTGCACCCTCTCTCGTCTCACCACCTCTCCCATCACCCTCTATCGCCTCAACTCTCTCCCCTCACCCTGCACCCTCTATCGCTTCACCCTGCACCCTCTATCGCCTCAACTCTCTCCCCTCACCCTGCACCCTCTATCGCCTCAACTCTCTCCCCTCACCCTGCACCCTCTCT